AGGTGGTACAGGAGATGCATATTCCTGGTTGTCAATATATTCGAGGTGATACAGATGAGAATCTCTCAGGTAGCATCTCGTCATCGTGGTCCCCCTGGGCAAGAGTCGCATTGCGATCTGTTTGGGCGTGTAACAAGAAAAGCCTCTGCCTGCATCCTACGTTTCATCTATGGATATTTACGTGGGATATTTGACATTCTCTTTTTGGGGGCTGTGATTCCAGCACAGATATTCGGACAGCCCTGCTCTCCATAACAGTTCTCAGGGTGGATTTATCTCAAGGAAGTCTCATGTCTGGTGCCAGCCTTCAGGGATGGCCATTAAGTTGACTTCAGTTGTTCTAGTGGTGGGGTGCATGCATGCGTGTGTGTCTGTGTATGTTACAGTGCTGGCCATGTGTACCTTATCAGGAAGGCTGCCAGCTAGGCTGGTATTGAACTTCAGTATTGGACTCCACTGCCAACTTGTTCTTTATGAGACTGATAGGACCTGACGGTACCCAAGATAAGCCGAGGTCCCTATTCACCAAACTATAGCCTTAAATAGTATAGAGTTGGCTTGTGGTCACATGATGCGTATTTTGGTTGTTAATGGCCAGAGAATCCCAGAAACAAAAAAACACTATGCAAAGTCATTTATTTTCATTCCTCTTTATCTGAACAGTTGGGGGCTACTCCCCCCCCCCCCCCACAGTGTGGCAGATGAGAACAGTACCATTCTGGAGGCAATGTTCCTGGTGGCTGCAGGAAATGGTGCCCCGTTATCACTCTACACTGTAGCATCCCCTGTGTCCCAATGTAGCCACGCTTTCCTCAGTCCACAGACACCTGTGCTTTCCCATATGCCTGCCTCTGTCTCTTAGAGGACAGGCATGTCAGTTAACAGCATCCATGAGAACAGAACTGCTGAGTCGTGGGCTGTGCTTCCTGATGATCAGCTGGACTAAATGACGGTGTTTGTCTTCTAGAGAATCTGAGGTGTCAAGGTTATAGGCACTGCATGAAAAGAGAGAACTTGACCTCCTTTTTATTCTTTTAAAGGATTATGCAATTTTGGAATGATTGGCTTTTTTTTTTTTTTTTGAAATGTTTGGTAGAATTTACCCAGAAGATAATCTGTGCCTGGAATTCTTTCTGTGGGACAGTTTAAATCACTTGTTTTTAATCTTTATTGCCTTATTATTAACACTCAGGTTTTTTCGTTTTGTTTCTGTTGTTGTTTTTTTTTTTTTCTTTTGAAACAGGGTCTCTTGCTGTCTCCTACTCCATATGCCAGCCTAGCTGGCCTGTGAGCTTCTGCGCTTTGCCTTTCTCCACCACCCATCTCCACTTTGCAGTAGGAGCAATGTTAGAGATGTGTGCTGCCTGGTCTGGCTTTGCACGTTCCTACTGATCCAAACCCAGGTCCCCATGCTTGCAGGGCAATGGTTTTACCCACAGCACTGTCTTTTCAGCCCTGTTTTATTTTACTATGTTCTTTTTTGATGTAAAAATTAAAAATAACTAAAACAAGGGGACAGGTTCTTGTTGTATAGCCCAGGGTATACTTTAATTAAGGCAGGGTTTTGCTACACAGCTCAGCCTAGCCCCACAGTTGCAGCAACCCCTCCTGTCTCTCACGTGCTGGGATTTGCAGGCGTATGCACCACACCTGGCTAGAACTGTCTAATTGTCTGCCCTTTCCAAAGAAATCAAGAATACCTTCCCTGAGAACACTTTGTGTGTGTGTGTGTGTGTGTGTGTGTGCGCGCGCGCACGCTTAACACAGCTTTAAGAAACAGCCTTTCTGGTTTTCTCTCAATCCTCTGAGGATGGCAGCCTCTCTTCCCTGCTGGTCTCTTCCCCTTTGCTGGATCCTCTGCCTGGCAGGTTTGCTGCCTCCCACAGATGTTCCTGGGTCAGCTGTTCAGGGCTGAGGAGTCTGCCCTGCATACTGTTGTGCAGGTCCTTGTGCTCTTTGGAGGAGAGGTGTTTTGGAGGGAGTCTTTCCTCACTTCCTGCCCGGTTTCGGCTGTTAAGGCTCATCTCCTCTTTGTACACATGCCCTGCACTCAGTTCTGAGGCAGAGAAGGGCACTTGGGCTAATGGCTTTAGGCAAAGGCAGGACCCAGTACTCTTTACCTGGCTTCTTTGCCCCAGCTGTGCTTCTGCTGTGGCCTGAGAGTTTAAAATGTCCAGGGGCTTAGACAACAACTTCATTGGTTATTTCAAAACAGGAGAGAGGATTTTGAATATTCAAACACAAATGAGTGATCTGTATCTGAGATGCCGGATATGCCAGGCCACAAAGTGGTCCTTACACATTGTGCACACACACTGAAATGTCACATTAAAATTACCACGTGCCAATTAAAAAGAGAACATGTTATCTCTATATAAGTCTATGTATATAAAACATGTATAGTGTAAACTTTTAAGTTAAAGTTCTAAATTATGTTTATGCGCTGGAGAAAGGGTGTGTGCACCCGAGTGCAGGTGCCTGCAGATGATCCCCTAGAGCTGGAGAGGAGATTCAGGACTTCTGGAAGAGCAGCAAGTGCTTCTAACATTTGAGCCTTCCCTTCAGCTCTTACCAGGATTTTCAGAGACAGCGTTCAGAGGATGAACTCTTGTTTCATGATGGTATGGATTCATAAGAGGAAGCTTATTATTTGTGTGGTTTCTATACTGTTTCCTTACCAAATGTCTATTGCTTCGTCCAGCAATTAAAACCTCCAGCTGAGCTGGTGTATTTTTACCCCCTGTTGTGTAACCTCTTCCGTGTAAAGCTTATCATCTAGGTAACCAGGACTAGGACTGGTGTGTCTCCAGTAAGAGTCAGCCTTTCACGATGTCTGCTTCTAACAATATTTAATTGCTTTAATGCTGATTTTGATGGACTTACTAGAGCTGGCTTTTTCTTTTGGTTTGTCTTTATTGCTTTCATTTGCTCTTGTTGCTATAACACAAACACTCCAAAGTTAGGCAGTTTTCTATCCTGAACCCTGAAGCTCTCTAGGGTCTCCAGATAGCAGCTGAGTCATTGGTGTTCTGAGAGACACTTAGCATTTAGAATATTCCAAGATTCTCAGGGGGTAGGAATGAGGGACCAAGACTGAAGAAGGAGCAGGAGATGTTCCTGGAATTTCTGTCTCATGTGGAATGATGCTCTTATCCTCTCCTGCACGGGAAAGAGACTCTTATCGTTCCCAATGTGCAGGAAGTTGCAAGGCCTGGAAGCTCTTACTAGCTAGGTACAAGAAGTGAATGTATAATTTGTACCACAATAGCACAAATATTGGCTTTTTTCTCTCTCTCAAATCATCTTATGATCCGCTGTCTATTATATCTTAGTGTGTGTGTTCAGGTGATTGTGCATACTCGTGTGTATGCATGTGTATGTGGAAGTCAGAGACTTATGCTGAGTGTATCTTTGGAGACAGGGTCTCTTCTTGCTGAACCTGAAACTCACTAACCGACTAGACATGTTATCTCCTGGAATAGTTCTCTTTCCATCTCCCCTGCACTGAGTTTATTGGTCGTGCTGCATCTGGCTTTTTTTTTTTGTTGTTGTTGTTGTTTGTTTTGTTTTTGTTTTTGTTTTTTTGACACAGGGTTTCTCTGTGGCTTTGGAGCTCTTGTAGACCAGACTGGTCTCAAACTCACAGAGATCCACCTGCCTCTGCCTCCCGAGTGCTGGGATTAAAGATGTGCGCCACCATCACCGCCCAGCACTTGCATCTGGATTTTTACATGGGCACCGAGGCTTGAACTCGAGTCTTCACGTTTGTGTGACAAGCACTTGAGCATCCTGCTAGGCCCAGTGATATCTCCTCTATCTTAGCACCTCTCTTGAACACATCCACCCCCATAACTAGCTTACTACATGAGGAAGACGTAAGGAAGATGAAAAGGTTTTTGAAAACACACTCACATTTGTTTCACCTATACCAGGTAAACACCTTTGAGACAAGTATGGATGAAAAGCTGCAAAAGTCAAAGGATTTTTATCAGGCACTTATGAATTGCAGTTTGGGAAAATGGATTTGGATAGTTTCCCATCAGTGTTCCAAAGAAGAAAGGAGGAGGAGGCTCATGCTGAGTGACTGAGGAATTGTTTTATTGCAAGGGAGTAGAACTCAACTCAGATCAGATCAGGTGATCTGATGCCTGCTTGTGATCCCAGCACTAGAGTGGTGAGGGCAGGTAAACCTTGGGGCTTGCCTGCCAACAAGTTAAGCCTAGTGGATAAGTTCCAGTCCAGTTAGAGTCTCTATCAAAATTAAGGTTTGCAGAAAGTGCAACAGGGGCCATGGAGCCCATGGAAGATAAGGTAATGAGTGCATACTATTAGTGAAAATACCCAGACAGAGTCCGGTTAGTCTCTGATGCACACCTTGAGTCTCTGGGTGCCATGTAGATCTAGGAGATGCTTTGTCAGAGGGGAACCAGAGCTCACAGCGTTGGGCAGCCTGGCATTGCCTGTAAGCCCTGTTACCCTGATAGTCTCCCAGTATACAAAAGTATGGAGGGATAGGCCAGTCATAAGTGTTTGCATTGAAGGAGCTGAGATCGATTCCCAGTACACACATGAAAAGCCAGGTGATCTGATGCCTGCTTGTGATCCCAGCACTAGAGTGGTGAGGGCAGGTAAACCTTGGGGCTAGTGGATAAGTTCCAGTCCAGTTAGAGTCTCTATCAAAAAGTAAGGTTTGCAACCCCCAGACTTTACAGTTGGCTACAGGGAGCCCCACCAGTTCCAAACAGGGACTCCCAGATGATGATCCTGCCAAGACTTCTCACAGTGACTCTTGCCATATAATGGGCACATAGCGACACTTACAACAGCTACATTGTTGGCTTCAGCCTTACCCACAATGGCTGTTCACTCACAGCATGGGAACCTCCATCACAGGAGGAAGCAGGAGACTTATGGTGCAGCCAGGGACAGAAGGACCTTCTACACAACTAAGGCCTCCCATCTGCTTAGCATCTTTCTGTTTTTTCCATTCCTGCCTGCAGCTGGCCAAACATGGACTCAACGTTGTACTTATCAGCCGGACACTGGAAAAGCTACAGGCCATTGCAGAGGAGATTGGTGAGTGATCCCACACAGCAAGGGGGGTGTGTATGCATGGAACTGGTCAAACACGGCACTGTCCTGCCTGTTCATGCCATGTCTGCTGCCGGAAGCCTGGGCTGCCACCTGTCCGCTGTATACAGAAGGGCCCAGTATACAAAGGGAAGGACAAGGTATAAGGCATAGGCTGTCACCCTGAATTCTGTGGCCTGGATAAAGGAAAAGTTTTCTCTGGGCCTTTACCCTCAGAATCAGCCCTGCTCAGCCAGAGCCCTAGCTGCCTCTTAGCTTTCGTCCCTTCCTTCGAAGCCAGAAATAGTGTCTGTTATTTGTTTCTATGCTCATAATCCTTATTTTTAGATATTAAATTTTAATAATTACACAGTTAATAATTAAGTAAAGTATCAAGGCAAAGGTATGAATCTTTAATTATGAAGGCTTTTTAAACCACAGCAGGCTGTCCTGGGTCAGCCTTGTTTCTTTGGGGGAGGTATAGAATAGAAGAAGGTTGTGGAGGTGAGGGCTGTGCGTTCAAACCGTGGAGGCTCCCTGCCCTTGAACTGGTGAATTTGGCTTTTGTTTGGCATCTGGATATTAGGAGTCATTCCGATTAGCACCAAGGCATTCTTGAGTGTCTTCCTCATGGTGTTAAATGTGCTTTTTGTCATGTTATAGGAAAGCAACTCATGCCTTTTATATTGAAGGTCTCTTGATTGCTTGATCAGAGGAGCTGGGTCTAGACTCAAAGTCAAGGCTCTTCTGAGAGAGACTGGGGCACCTCTACCTGCAGCTGTTACCACTGCCTATCTATATAGGCCTTCCCCGGGCAAGTGAGCGCAAAACCACAGAGAAGGCGCTAAACTTGGAGTGAAGAATAGGTTCTGTGGACAAGTTAGTGGACTAACTTGTCCTCAATTTGCTGCTCTGGGAAATGGGAAGAAGAGTGTCTGCTCCCTCAGGATTGTGGGGGACAAGCTGCCATGTATGTGGATTCTGGAGCAAAGGACTCCTGTGTCTATGCTGAGGGGACCTGAGTCTGCTGAGCTATGAAAGCATCCGAGGGTGTGCACAGTCCTCCTCCAGGGGCTCAAACCTGAGTTTGTGTCAATCATCTGGTGGCTTATGTAGGCCAGTCTGGCTCAGGCCAGTATGTCTGAACCAGTAGGTCTGGGGTAGAGGCAGATCTGGGTCTCTAACAAGATTCCTGATGATTTTTATATGACTTTGAGAAACACAGTCCCAACTCTCTTTTAGATATTTCATTGTAATTTTTAATTGTGTTTATGTGTGTATGTCTGTGTTGGTGTGTGCAAGTGCCTATCAGATCCCCTGAAGCCAGAGTTACAGGAGTTGTAAGCCACCTAATGTTTGTGCTAGAAACCAGCCTGGGGTCTTCCATAAAAACAGAAAGTACTCTTAAGTGTTGGACCACCTCTCCAGTCCTACAAAATCTATTGTATTGCTGTGGACTTCATGGTCAAGAGGGATGATTGTACTCAGGCTTACTAGAAACACCTGTGGTCTCTCATACAGAGGGGACCACTGAAAGCCGTGTGAAGATTGTGCAAGCAGATTTTACCAAAGAAGACATTTATGACCATATTAAAGAAAAACTTAAAGGTTTAGAAATTGGAATTTTAGGTAAGTATATTAAAAATGCAAATCTTGATTTTTCAATTTAAATATGATAATCACCTCAGTGACTATCGAAGCCCCCTTTGGGAGTGGTCTGGTGAGATGGCTTGATGCATAAAGACACCTGTCATCAAGTCTGATGACCTGAGTTCAATCCTAGTGATCCATTTGTGGATGGCAATAACAGAGTTCTTCAAATTGTTCCTTCTCCATCACCTTACATATCATGTGCATGTTAGTGCACACCTGTAATCCAAACCCTCAGGAGGTGGAGGAAAGAGATCAGAAGTTCTTACCCTCAGGTGTATGGTTAAAAACTCTCGTATCACTGGGCGGTGGTGGCGCACACCTTTAATCCCAGCACTCGGGAGGCAGAGGCAGGCGGATCTCTGTGAATTCGAGGCCAGGCTGGTCTACAAGAGCTAGCTCTAGGACAGGCTCCAAAGCTACAGAGAAACCCTGTCTCTAGAAAGAAAAAACTCTCCTATCACAAGTTGTAATGTTTTTACATTCTAAACGGACGTGTGTGTGTGTCTGTCTGTCTGTCTGTCTGTCTGTGTCTGTGTACATATGGAGGCCACTGGTCAATGTCAGATATCTTCTTCTATTATTCTCATCCTTATATTTTGAGTCCTTCCCTCCTTTTTTCCTCCCTTTCTCCCTCTCTTTCTTCTTTCTTTTCTTTTTAAAAAAGATTTATTTATTTATTATGTATGTAGTGTTCTGTCTGCACTTATGCCTGCACACCAGAAGAGGGCACCAAATTTCATTATAGATGGTTATGAGCCACCATGTGGTTGCTGGGAATTGAACTCAGGTCCTCTGAAAGAGCAGTCAGTTCTCTTAACCACTGAGTCATCTCCCCAGGCCCCTTTCTTTCTTTTCTATTTTAACTCAGGTCCTGGTGTTTGTGCGGCAGTCGCTTTGTTCGTTGGGTCACCTCCCTGACCTGCATTCCCTTGTTGTTATTAAATCACGTTGCAATGAGCACCCATACACAGAAATCATTTTGCACATGTTTCTGTAGAAAGATTTCCCACCTGCTCTGACATCCTTTACCTCTCTCTGTTAGTCAACAATGTTGGAATGCTCCCCAGCCTGCTCCCAAGCCGTTTCCTGAACACTCCCGGTGAGATCCAGGTGAGCTTTTTTCCCTTTCGTGTCTGCTTTTGTCTCTCAGCCAGGTATGGACCCCTGGCTTGATCACCAGGATTCAGGGAAGAGAGACAAGAATCAGGTCAGGGCAGACTCTGCTGCGTGGTGCTTTTCTTGATATTTTTCTCCTCACCCTAGAACCCGACACAAAGGGTGTGCCTTTTCATCTCTGCTCATCAAAAACTTCCTAACCACCTATGATTCTATTCCATCCTGAGTTTTCAAGGCTGCTCTCCTGCCACGGCTCACATACGGGCAGGACGGCACAACAATGCCACAGAGCCTCAGCTAGGAGCCAGAATGCAGCTTGAGCATGTAATGAAGTTATTGGAACTCAGCTTTTGCACATTCAGTGTTTGGTTAGCGCCAACTTATTCCCAGGACAATTCTCCGAGGACTGGACTGACTTCTGTCTGTGATTATCTATTGCAGAGTCTCATCCACTGCAACATCACGTCTGTAGTCAAGGTACGTGATGAACACGTGTGCTAACACATCAAAACACAGAGGCTGAAACATTCCTCGAACTGAAACTAAACTGCTCTTTGCCACAGTCTGTCCACTCTTCTCATCTGGAAAACAGAGATAGGTTCATTCTCTCCAGTATATAAACCCTATTTTTGCATTCAGAATGCACTAGGCCTGAAGATACTAATATTTCCTCAGGATTTCAAAGCAATTCCCTAAAAGTTAATATTTTAATAAATGTTTAGTAGTCTCTAAGAGAAGGACGTTTATTATGTCAGAAAAGATGATAGAGGGCTGGGTTTTCTAGGTGTTTGTTGTTCAGTATTTGTTAAATTGAGCTCAAAGCTATTTGTGGACTAGGCTCTTTTTTAAAAATTTAATTGATTATTTTACTATTTTTAAGTCATGTGGGTATATGTATTCCTGCATGTGGGTAGGTGCACTGGATGCCGTATTGACATGGGTTCTGGAGGAGCAGTCTGAGCTCGGTCTCCAGCCCGATAATCTCTTGTGATTTGTGGTTTAGTTATCTGCGGTAAGTCATGGTTCCAGAATGCTAGAAGGGAGATTGTCTACTTTAAGAAAGAGGCTAGAGAATAGTCTAGGTTTGTCATCTGCCTAGGTTGCTTGCTGTGGCTTCTAGCCAGATTCTCAGGTTGCCAGAACGGCCTCTAAGGCTGCCAATAACTTTCAAGGTTCTTTTGGAAGATTAAGCTTCCCCAACTTCCTCCAAGGACCCTGTTGATTGCTACTTAGTTTCCTTTCCAAGGCTTAACCCTGGCCTTCTCTTATAGATGACACAGCTTGTTCTGAAGCACATGGAGTCAAGGTAAGGCCTGTCACAGGAGAAGCAGAGAGCAAGGTGGCTTTCTGTCCTGGCAGCCACCTTGCTTGGGGACTTGGTGGTGGTGGAGGGAGCACGTCAAGCTGCTGCTTCAGTTGGTGGCTAAAACCTGTGAAGAGAGAACACAGTGATTACGGGGGGGGGGGGGGGGGGGGGGGGGGGGGGGGGGGGGGGGGAGGCCAGGCCAGTGTTTCACATACATGTGTGTATGTGAAGGTCAACTGTAACATGTTTTAGAAGGAGATTGAGAACAGCTGTTTGAAAACACATTGGCTTTCAAAGAAAATTAACTCATGTTGAACATAAAAGATGCAAGTTGGCCTCAGATCAAGACCATGTCCTTTTTTATTGTGAATTCCATCTTCTGTCAGAATGAGTACCCCACTCCCCTGGAAACTGCCTGCCCCCAGTCTCTCTAATAGTCCATATTTGGGGCACCCTAGTACAACACGCACGAGGGACTGGTTTTCATCACCCATTATTCATTAAGAGCAAATAGTTGATAGTTTATTTTTTCTAGAGTAAGAAGGGGGTAGCTTTGTATTCTGATTTGCGGTTTCTTGCAACCCCACTCCAGGCATCTAACTGGGAATATTAAATATAATCGAATTTTATCCAGCAATAGGGAGGCTGAGGTAGGAGGATCACCACAAATTCAAGACCAGTCTGGGTTCCATAGTAAGGCCGAGGCTAGCCTGGATGATATAGCAACATAAATATGTCTCAATAAATGAAACAAACAAAACCAACTAAGTTTCGAGAGGTATAAGCAAGAGCCCCGAAGAGCGCCGGGATGTTGGAGTGAGCACAACCCGTTTAAGATGGATCCCACCACATCACACCATCCCTATGAGCCCAAAGGGTTCCAGGGCATGTGGTCCCTTGGAGACTGGAGAGTCCCTTTCTCCTTTCCTGTCTGAGCCAGTTTGGGTTTTCGTAGCTTGGCAGGGAATATGATTGCCCTAGCAGAGGTCCTGTTTGGAGACCAAGCCCTACAAGACTGCAGAGAGTGACATCACCATGCAGTGTCCTCCTTGAGATCATGGGGGATGTTCCCTCACAGTTCTCGCAAAACCACGGAAGCCTAGAGGGTGGGTTCTGACAGCCCCAGCCCTCAGGTGTGTTTGCTGCAGTGGGATGGGGCAGCAACAGTGCTGCCTTTGCTCCTTTGCCTTACAGGCGGAAAGGCCTCATCTTGAACATTTCTTCTGGGGCAGCCCTTTGTCCCTGGCCTCTGTATGCCCTGTACTCGGCTTCCAAGGTGAGTGACAAGTCCTCCAGGTCTCTCTCTTCCTCTTCCTCCAAGCAGGAAGTGTCTGTGATACTCTCGGGAACCTGAGGGGCCCGTCTATAAGGGCAGGAGGAAGCAAACTCCAGACCTGAGGTATTTTCTCTCTTACTGCAGGCTTTCGTGTGTACGTTCTCCAAGGCCCTGCATGTGGAATACAGAGCGAAAGGAATCATTATCCAGGTGAGGCGGACAGTGTGGGAACTCCCGAGAGGGAACCAGCTGGCTGGCTGGTGGTCCTTCATCCCTTGCGGTGCTAGCTGGTGGTCTCTCATCCCTTGCAATGCTGGCTGGTGGTCCATCATCCCTTGCAATGCTGGCTGGTGGTCCATCATCTCTTGCAATGCTGGCTGGTGGTCCATCATCCCTTGCACTGCAGGTTGTACATGTGAAGATGGTCTAGTGATTCTGCTGGGTTCCCTGACCAAGACCAGGCCAAGTGCTGTCTCTACACCCCCTCCTGCTGCTGGGATTTCTGCTGGCCTCCCTTCGTGCTGGTGTTGGTTGAGGAGGGGAATTGCATATGGATGTGTTTGCTCAAAGATGCTGTGGGAGCTGGGGATGTAGCTCAGTTGGTTGAGTGCCTGCCTAGCACACACAGAGCCCCAAGTTTTATCTAAGGCGCTGCATAAAAATGGGTATGGAGGTGCATGCCAGTGACCTCAGCATTCAGCAGGTGGAGGCAGGAAGATCAGGAATTCTGGCTGATCCTTACTACATTCTTACTTACTTTCGTGTAAGATTAGCCTGAGCTGTCTGGGGGAAACATGCTGTGGACCCTTTGCTGCGTGGTATGTATGTTGTGTGAGCAGGTATGTATGTTGTGAGCTGGCATATACATGTTTGAGCAGGTATGTATGTGTGTGATTGGGTATGTAATTAAATTTGATTTCCAAAGGAACATGAATAAATCTGTCTGTCGAGACAGAGTTTTATTAGTAGCCTAGTTGGCCTTGGACTTCCAATTCCATCGCTCAGCCTTAGACTAAAGGTCTGTGCCGCCACTTCTGACTGATTGACTGTCTACTGTAAGTCCATTCAATGCAATACTCGGGACAAAATTATGCTGAGTGATTTATGCTTCGCTGGACTTCAATTCTGAGTTCCTTTTATTTGTGTGTGCAGTGCTGGGACACGAACTCTGGGCCTCATGCAGGCGCTCGGCTTCCGATCTTATCCCCAGTCCTGAACTTCAGCTTTAACTGCTGCCTTGCACTTTGTTTGCTGAGTCTCCCAGTTGCCGTGTGTGCTCTGAAGGGCGTTTGAGCCCCTTGAGATGAGCAGTGTAGGCCTCATCTTGAGCAACCAAACCTCCTGTTCTCCAGCTTTGTGCCAACTTTGCATCTTTTATCAAGGACCTTAGAGCGTTTCACAGGCAGAAAGGAGCTGGGATGGATGGTGAAGTGTGCGTTCACACCTCAGTCTCTGATGGCCGTTACAGCGCTGTGTCCTGCTCTTTATCTCTCTCTGCAGGTGCTGACCCCCTATGCTGTCTCAACCCCAATGACAAAGCATCTAAATACCAACATGGTGACCAAGACTGCGGATGAGTTTGTTAAAGAGTCCTTGAAATACGTCACTATTGGGGATGAAACCTGTGGCTGTCTTGCTCATGAAATCTTGGTAATCAATGACTTCTTTTGAAGCAAGGGAGGAAGGGTGTGCGTTTTCTTTCACAGCAAGCTCACAGGGCCAGCCAGCTGCAGTACAGCCAGGGAGAGCAGTAGGGGAGAGTAGTAAGAACTGAGGCCGAGGCCTCAGCCTATAAACAACCACGCGACTCCACTTCTCCACTTAGTGGCTCCTGGGAGTTCTTGGGTAGGAAAAACAGGAACACCTGGCTCTTCCATGCAGCGGCCTCTGCCTCCCGTGGCTCTGTGTTTCAGTAAAGTTGAGCCTCTAAAGGAACGCTTTTCCTTAGCTATGGGAAAGCTAGCTAAGGAAAAGGGAGGGAAAACAGGGAAGGAAAGAGTACAAAAGCCCCTGGGGAGATGGGGTTTCAGGAAGAACTAGCCAATGCTCCATAGGGCAACAAAGAGGTGTGGTGGGGTGGTCAGCCCATGAGCAATTTAACAAGTCCTTCAGAAGGCATTTAAAGGGACAGCCCGGGTGTCTAAGAAGTTCCCCATTGCAAAGTGACGCAAGATCTTCATAGTAGTCAGAAAAAGTCATCCTCCAATGAGTGACTCCAAGGACTTGCTGAGGTATAATTTCTTCGCTTTGCTCAGACACTCCTATGTTTCTGTTCCAGGCAATGCTCCTGAACCTGATCCCTTCCAGAATCTTCTACAGCGACACCTTCCAAGAATTCTTCCTAACAGGCTACTCAGATTATCTGAAGCGCAACACCAGCAACAGATAGAGGGAGTGGGGGATGGGGGTGGGAGGTGGAGGTATAAAAGGGTATAGCTTCTATAAAAGGGAGGCTTAGCATTAAAGGCAACACTAAAACAAAACAAAACAAAACAAAACCCTGTAAAGGTAATAAATGTGCTGAAAAGAAACTTCTAAGTCTCATTGAGAAGGATCTCACCTAAAGGGTCACTTTATAACTCTGTGTAGAAATCAAAACTCAAACAATACCTGGGCCTGCTAAACTTTGCCAGGACCTCAGTCGGTTCAGAGCATGGTTTTTAAAATGTGGCTTCTTGCAGTCCACAAGACTGGGTGGGGGAACGTGTTGGGGCAACAGTTGGGTCAAGCCAGTGTCCTATCTTTCCCAACCCCCTTCCTTTTATCGTGAGAGCACCGGGTGTTATCTGTTTCATTCATAGTAGGTTCTGTAAGGCTGTGCTGGTAAAGATAAACACGCAGAAAGAAGTTTTAAGACATTGCTCTGAGGCTAGGGAGATGGGTGTGTGGATAAAACACAAAAAGTGGGGTTCGAATGCATACAACCCACACCAAAGCCAGGGTGTCTTGGTAGCCTGTCCATATCTCCAACACTCAGGAGGCTGAGACAGGGGATCCCCAGGGAAGCTGTACAGTTATAGGAGCCAGAACTGGTGAGGTCTGAGCTCAGCAGGAGACCCTACTTCAGTAAATAAAGTGAAGTACTGAGGACCTGCCCAAGCTCTTTGAAGCCCAGAAGATTGTGTGTGAGTCCCAGACATAGGGCACTGCACTTTTTACAGAGTTAAATTTTGGGTTTGTTTTGATCTGCCTGTAACTGTGCCCTTGGTCTCCCCTGTTGATATAAGAAACTATTGGATTTGTTTACTTTTATTTTAAGAGTCCACGGTTAAGAAACTTTGTATTTTTAAATCACCAAGTCTTTTAAAGATTGTGGGACTTTTAGAGTTATTATGTTTTGGTGTTGTGATAGTAACAAGAGATCCTGGGTTATGGCTTAATAGTGATGCATCTGTGTGTCAAATCGACAAGGGGTTAATTGTGTTATTTAGTTAGGTTTTGTTTTTTTGTGCGTGTTTGTTTTTGTATTTATTTATTTATTTATTTATTTATTTATTTATTTTTGGGCACAAGAGTCACCTGAGTTGAGGATTTGCCTCCATCATGTGGGCTAGTGTGCATTTCTGTAAAGCATTTTCTTGATTAATTATTGATGTGGAAGAGACTAGCCTACTGGGGTTGATACTACCCCTGGATAGATGGCCCTGTGTTATATAAGAAGACAGGCTGAGAAAGCCACAAAGAACAAGCTAGCAAGCATTTTCCCTCCATAGTCACTGCTTCAATTCCTGCCTCCAGGTTCCTGCCTCCAGGTCCTGTCCTGGCTACCTGTAGTGCTGGGGTACGGCCCGGAAATTGTAAGATGAAACAAACCCCTTCCCCCCCTGCGATTTGGCCAATGTTTTATCACAGCTATAGAAAAACACACATAGTATGGTTTAGGTAAGAGTTCCCAAAGACTCGTGTGTTAAAAAGTTGGTCCCCAGCCTGTGATGCTGTTGGGAAGCTGTAGGGTCTTTAGGAGGTGGGGCTTTGGTGGAGGAGGTGTGGATTGAAGGGACTGTGGGATGCTGGTCTCTTCTTACCTTTCCCTTTGCTGTGAAAGTGTGTGGTTCCTTCCCTGGCCACACACACCCTGTGGTGTTCTGCCTGGCCACAGGCCCAAAACAATGGGGCCATTTTATGAAAGAATGGAATGACGAGCCCAAATGAGCCTCTCCTTAGTGGGCTATCTCAGGCGTTAAACCTCTCCTTCTCAGTGGGCTATCTCAGGAATCACAGTGATAGAGTTAGCACAGCAGGGTGCTGTGGTCTGTAAGGTATATTAGGCCATAAACGTAAGGATGCTGGAACACATGTTCTCGAGGCTACAGGTTGGACCTACCTGCTTGGAAACCAATTACTTCGTTTCAAAGACAATTAGCCAGTGCTAGCCAGAGAAAACTAACTGATGGTTATCCTGGGGCCAGAAGAACTTAGTCAGGTTGGGCTGCCCCTGAGGCCAAAGGCAGGTCTCCCTGTAGTTCTCCCTGTAGGTCTCCATGTAGTTTTCAGGGCCCTGGCTCCATACTGCCCTCTAATGGTCTTGTGGAGAAACTGTGGGATTGCGCCTAGAAATTTCACCCTGTGTGTGTGTGTGTGTGTGTGTGTGTGTGTGTCTGTGTGTGTGTGTGTGTGGCATAGATTCTGACGAGAAGCCTGACAATGGGTAAGAGTGAAGCCTCTTAGTCTCTCTGGATTGAGCTCTCTCATGGCAAAGGTTGACTTCATGAGCTTTCTTTTTTTGGTTAGATTTCAAGTAAGTTTAGAAAATAAGCTAATTTTAAAACCAAGTTTGAAAGATAAATTTCCTAGTTACAAACAAGCAGGTAAGGCAGAAATACAGAAACTACAGAAAAAAGGAGAAAGAGAGGCACCTCTCAGAATTAACCATCCTTCACTCATGGTGGCTTGCTTTTTCTTATTTTTTTTTTATTGTATTTATTTATTCTCCCTCTCATCTCCCTCCATCACCCCCACGTGGAGATTAGACAACATCTTGCAGGCTTCAGTTCTTTCCTTCCGCCCTGTGGAGCCTGGAGATTGAACTTCGGTGCTCAGGCTTAGTGACAGGCATGTGTGCCTGCTGAGCTGTCTCAACAGCCAGCCGATTGCTTTTTTCTAACTCCTTCATGCGTCTGCAGATTGAAGCACAGGTTTTTGTACTCTACCTTTGCCATTAAGATAATGACATCAGATTATTGATTACAAACAGCCAAGCAAGAGGTGTTTTGCAGTGATCATAACACCTGCTCTTATGACTCACCATGTATCTTCTTGTTTTGATCTAGATGACTTTTTAGCTTTAACATTTTACGGATGACACAGCATGACCTGTCCTTCTACACTCGCCACTTTGTTGCCGTTAATGTCTAAACTCTAACCGCTTGCACGCTACACTTTTCAGATTTAGAATATGTGATTCAAGGACTGGGAGGATGTCTCTATGGGTAAAGCGCTTACTTTGCCGGCAAGCAGACCCAAGTTAAGGTCCCTAGCACCCGTGCAAAACCCTGAGTGTGTGCATCTGTAGCCCCAGAAAAGGGGGCAAAGACCGATGTGTCCCTGGAACTCATGGAGAGGAATTGAGGATGAGATGGGTATTGACTGCTGTCTTCCCCAGGAACACACCCAGGAGTGCACACACAAACATGCATGCAATCGTAAACCACACAGGCACACACAGAGTATACAATTCAGTGTTTCTAGTGCATCCAGAGTAGTGTAACCATCATCACAACTAGTTCTAGAACATTTTTCATGGCCCCGCACTGAAACGCCACACCCGTTAGCAGTCACCTTTCACTCCATGCCTGTTTGACACACCCTGACCAAGGCAACCACTAATGTGTTTCATTTCTTTATTTGATCACACTATTAAAAAAATACAGAGTCATGATTTATATCCCAGGCTGGTCCCAAACTCTCCATCCTCCTGCCTCAGCCTCCTGAGTGCTGTGATTACTGGCATGTTCCACAGCATGGCACTGGCTATTCTGAAAAGTTAATATAACTGGCTTTCGTCATTGCATACTTTGATGCAGCATAGTATTTTAAAAGCTTGTCCATGATGGACCATGTACCAGTACCTCTCTCTTTTTTTACTTCTTAGTTCATGAGTTGATGGACATTCAGCTTGCTCCCAATTTCAGTGCTCTGAGGGAGGTTGCTCAGAACACTAATAGACACTAACAGACTAATAATGTTTTTCACTTCTGTTGGATATATCCCAACCAGCGAACTTTAGGGCCGTATGGCAGCTCCACAATTAGCCTTTAGTGTAACTGCCAGACCATTGTTCAAATGAGCTGAACTGGGTTCATTTCCACCTGTGGACATGAAGGGTCCAGCTCTTCAACCTCCTAACCAATACTCATTATTTCTCTCTTCTGAAGGGCGAGGGTGGGGAGAGGGAGGAGAAGGAGACAGGTTGTCAGAGAAGAGGTTAGCTATCCTGGCCTTATTTCCTTGAGACAGGGTTGCTCACTGAATCTGGAGATAGGCTGGCAAACACAGAAATCCTCCTGCCTTCACTTTCTACAGCTTTGGGTCACAGACACTTGTAGCTATGCCCAACTTTTTTTTTTTTTTTTAAGCGTGGGTGCTAGGATCTGCACTCAGGTCCCTCCTGCTTGTACAACAAGGGTCTTTCACACTGAGCAGCCTCTCTTCAGGCTGCTTGCCTTTTGTCAGTAGACTCTGTGAAAGATTTCATTGCTTGCTGGTGTTTGCAGAGCTTACTTCACATTGCATAATCCTAGATGCGGAGGAAGCTACAGAGCGTCAGCTGGCCAGCAACTGCTTTTGTCCACACCTGGCATGTGCTGTAGACACAGACATCCTGTCTCATCACTGCGTTGAGAGAGTTAGGTGTCATAGCGGGTTCAGTTCAGTCGTATGTAATTGTATGACAGAGGCTTTAGGTGAATCTTTAGGTGAACATTTAAACACTGAGATTACGTCTCTTTTTATCAGTGACCTATGCGTCTCTTTACAATTTACACTGGTCGTTTCCCCAGAATAAGGATCCCTAGATGGGAATGTCTGAACAGGTGTGCCATCCCCAAACCGCTATCCCAGAATGCTCTGGAGTTGTTTCCTTCTCGGATAGTTGAAATTAGGCAGTGTGGACCATTTTATGTCAGACTTCTCTTTCTTGGCTTCACGTCTGTGAGACTTGTCCACAGCATTGTATTCATGTCTTTTTCTTGTTGAATTTATTTCATACACAACTGTACCCAACTCATTTTCTTTTTTCCTCTTGATAGGTGTTTGGCTCCCCAGTGTGGGGCAGGCTGCTATGAGCATGCTTGCCTAAGAATTCTGTGGACATATGTTTTCATTTCTTTTAGGTTTATCCTTGGGAATGGATTTACTGGGTCAAAGGGTTGGTACGTTAAACATTTTATTTTAACTTAAAACATACAAAATTGCGTTCTTTTAGCAAATCTTTTGATGTAGGGCCAAGTCCTTTCCTTCCTTTCTGGGTTCACTACCTGGAACCACAGTGTGCCTTTCTTCCCTAAATCACACCCCTAGTGTGTGTCAGCTG